CAAGGAGCTCTGGGGGCAAACACACACAAGGATCATGAAAGGGTGGAGAAAATTTTTAATAATGGCCTCAAATACTACAGATGACTCGAAAACAATAAACCTGGGAATCAAAGAAGCTCCATAAATCATAATATAAGATATACAAACAAATTTAGACCAAGACACATCCTCAAATCACTGAATCCCAGTGATGAAATTGTTGAAAGCACCCAAAGGAAAACAACATAGTGATAGGTTACATAGTGATCTTACTCAGTTTTTCATAACCACAATTGAATACTTAAGCCACTGATGAAGGTTTATGTCAGTTCATCATTGTGGAGGTTCACTGTCCAAGATCAGGTGGCCTCACTGGTCTGGTGTGATGAGGAAGGTGGCAGAACACATGCAGAGGAAGGCTTATGCAGCAAACCAGGAGGCAGAGACAGGGGGAATGCTCAGTTTCAATGCTACCATGATTTGATGCTACCCCAACAACCTAGCCCAATCTAATCACTTCCCAAGAGCCCCTCCATAAATGGATGAAACTCCACCCTGAATCCATCAATCACCAACATTAATCTATTAGCCACCAACATAACTTTTGGGCCCAACCTTCCAATACATTGGGCCTTTAGTGGACACCCAAACTGTAACATGACAAGGAGATTGTTTTTTTTGACAGGCAGAGTTAGACAGTGAGAGAGAGAAACAGAGAGAAAGGTCTTCCTTCCGCTGGTTCACCCCCAGATGGCCGCTACGGCCGGCGCGCTGCGCCAATCTGAAGCCAGGAGCCAGGTGCTTCCTCCTGGTCTCCCATGCAGGTGCAAGGCCCAATTACTTGGGCCATCCTCCACTGCACTTCCGGGCCACAGCAGAGAGCTGGACTGGAAGAGGAGCAATTGGGACAGAATTCGGCGCCCCAACCGGGACTAGAACCAGGTGTGCCAGTGCCACAGGCAGAGGATTAGCCTAGTGAGCCGCGGTGCCGGCCAGAGATTTTTGTATATATTTTTGTTGTATGACTTTGGAACTGTGATCTTACCTGTATAGTATATAAAAGATTTAGAAGGACCACGGAATCTCAGAGAGATGGTACATGAGACAAGAGGACAGAATAACTTATGTAAACATTGGAAACGACTGAGTCCTATGTAATAAAATGTTGTGCTACTGTAAATGAACTGGGCATTATTTTGGTGGCACCAGAATTAAGTTATTTCTAGAGAAAAAAAATAGCTTCAACTTAAGTTCACTTATTCTAGACAGTATTTCTCCTCCTATTTTGACTTTGAATGACTTTAAAAACTACAAAAAGTAAATATGCCTCTCTAAAATTCGGGGCAGTTTTCTTAACTCAAAATCTGACGTTCACATATAACCTAAATAGGCTCACAGCTTATCTCTGACAGTGATATTAGCATTTCACTAATGCATACAACTGTAAGAGGTTAAGACTCCCATGTGAAATCTGCACATGTGCAAATGTTATTTCTCTTGGCATTAAACACAGCATAACCCTGAAAGCCTCTGTGAAATTCTCTATGTGTACCTCTGAGTTTGAAGGTAGTTCCAAATTGAACAGTGAGCCCTAGGTTGCAAAGTAACTTTTCTCATAAACTCAGAAATCGCGGCTTTGCTTTTCTAATCACATGTAGACTCCCATATGCCATTGACTAAGTAGGGGACTCCAACAGGAAGCATTATCACTCTTTTCAAAACGTGGTGGCCTTCCTGGCTCGCAAACACTCTTCACTCTGTGCTTCCAAGATCTCTCTGTGACGGTCCTTGGGGTCTTTGTGAAGCATCAGCAAACTCCCATAGTCAAAGTCAAGGACCAGACTCTCAGGTACATCCTGTTTATCTCCATCACCCAGGCTGGTCCCTTACCCATCACTGCTCATCCCAATTCATTCACCTAGATCATGTGAAGAATCACATTGTGGTTGGGATGATGGTGGTGTCTCACCAATACTATCACTGCCGATTTGGCCATCTAGGGAGAATGATAAGGCAATGGTTGGCATCAGCAGAAACTGTGATTGCCATCTCCTCCTTCGGCCATTTTGGAAATCTTACAGACTCTAGAATTTACTATTTACTCAGGCAGATACACGCTCAGAGGCTAGATGCATCATCTCTGCCTAAAGGATTCTGATGAATTCCCATGTGGCTTTTCTGGCCAGGAGCTTGCCTGACATCTTCAAGGAAGTAATTTTATGTGTGTGTGTGTGTATGTGTGTGTTTTATATAAATATATATATAAAATGTTTGTGTACATTTATGCATTAAACTAAATTTTTGTACGTTTTTTCTGTATTGCCACTTCCAAATTCATTTAATGAGACCAGTACTGTCTTAATTCCAAAACCTGACAACAAAAAAGTGAACAACAGACCAATATACCTGATGAACAGATACAAAAATCCTCAAGAAAACAGTAGCAAACATAACCCAACAACAGATCAAAAAGATTATCCATTCTAAGTGGGATTTATCCCAGGGATGCAGGGATGGTCCACATATGCAAATCAGTAAACATGGCACATCCTATTTTCAAAATGAAGGACAAAAACCGTATGATTATCTCAATAAATACAGAGAAATAATTTGATAAAATACACCCTTTTCTGTTTTAAAAAAACTTTAATTTTTTGGATATAGAAGGGGCAAACCTTGGGGCCGGCACTGTGGCACAGCGGGATAATGCCCTAGCCTGAAGCGCCGGCATCCCATATGGGCGCCGGTTCTAGTCCCAGCTGCTCCTCTTCCAATCCAGCTCTCTGCTATGGCCTGGGAAAGCAGTAGAAGATGGCCCAAGTCCCTGGGCCCCTGCACCCGCGTGGGAGACCCGGAAGAGGCTGCTGGCTCCTGGCTTCAGATCAGCACAGCTGCCAGTGCAGCTAATTGGGGAGTGAACCATCGGATGGAAGACCTCCCTCTCTGTCTCTCTCTCTGTCTCTCTCTCTCTCTCTGCCTCTCCTCTCTCTGTGTAACTCTGACTTTCAAAAAATAAATAAATCTATAAAAATAAAAAAGGGATGAACCTCAACACAATCAAGGCAACATAAGACAAATCCATAACCAACATCATATTGAATAGGGAGGCCGGCGCCGCAGCTCACTAGGCTAATCCTCCGCCTAGCGGCGCCGGCACACCGGGTTCTAGTCCCGGTCAGGGCACCAGATTCTGTCCCAGTTGCCCCTCTTCCAGGCCAGCTCTCTGCTGTGGCCAGGGAGTGCAGTGGAGGATGGCCCAAGTACTTGGGCCCTGCACCCCATGGGAGAGCAGGATAAGTACCTGGCTCCTGCCATCGGATCAGTGCGGTGCGCCGGCCGCAGCATGCCAGCCGTGGCGGCCATTGGAGCGTGAACCAACGGCAAAGGAAGACCTTTCTCTCTGTCTCTCTCTCTCACTGTCCACTCTGCCTGTCAAAAAAAAATAGGAAAAGTTAGAAGCATTTCCACTAAGATCCATGACTAGACAGGATGCTCACTCTCACCACTATTACTCAAAATATCTTTTTTAAAGATTATTTTTATTTATTTGAAAAGCAGAGTTACAGAGAGGCAGAGAGACAGGTCTTCCATCTGCTGGTTCATTCCCCAAGTGGTCACAATGACCAGAGCTGAGCTGATCTGAAGCCAGGAGCCAGGAGCTTCTTCCGGGTCTCCCAGGTGGATGCAGGGGCCCAAGGACTTGGGCCATCTTCCACTTCTTTCCCAGGCCATAGCAGGGAGCTAGATGGGAAGTGGAGCAGCCAGTACTCGAACCAGCACCCATATGGGATACTGGTGCCGCAGGTGGTGGCTTCACCCCCCTGCCACAGCGCTGGCCCCAAAATCAAACCTTTAAAAACAGCTAGCTGTCGGTCTGGGGGAAGATTTTTTTAAAAATACTGAATCCAAATGAAATGTACACGGAAAGAAAAATAGTGGATAATGTGAGTATCAGAAGGAAAGCTGGTGTCTAACAATGTGGTGCACGCGGGAAATGTAATTATCTCTTGCCAGCTCTAGCGCTATGGTTTGAATATGGTTTGTCCCCCATGGACACTCATGTGTAAATTTAAAAGTCATCATCACAAGCTACTACTAACAGGGAAGAATCAAGTGGGACATTGAAGAGATGACGAGGGCTCTGCCAACAGGAATAATGTGCATACGTGATTAATGGATTTATTAGTGAATTACGTGATTATAGCCTGATTTAAAAGCCACTTTGGCTAGGTCTCTGGCACTCCCCGTGGCCACCTTATGTCCTGTGTCATCGAGGGCGTCACTGGGTGCCTCCCCCGAACCTTGAATCAGAACCCTCAGCCAAGAGCAACCCGTTTTCTTTATAATTCACCCAGACCGTGGCAGAAGAACCTGGACCGAAGAAGGGTCCAGTCTGGAGACCCGACTTCCCCTAAGCTCAGGGAAATCAGGTCATCCCTGGGGAGAACAGGAGGGACCTGGGACTCCTCATCGTGTGACCCGCCCACGCGGTGCAGTCCGGATTCCCAAGGCCCGCCCGCCATCCCCGCCCCCAGAGAGCGGGCGCCCGCCCAGGGGTCCTGGCTGCTGCTCGGCCCCAAACCCCGTGGGCCAGAGGGGCCGGAGGGCCAGGAGGTGCCAGCGGGCCGACTCAAGTCCTAGGACTTCGGAGCTGACCGGAAGCGTCCCAGTCCCACAGCCACAGCCGGCTCCCGCCGGTCCCAGCTACCCCTTCTCCCCTGGGCCCCACACACTCACGGTTTCACAGCTTCGGTGATGGCCCTGTGTCTCCCCCTAGATTTACTGGCTCAGCAGCGGTCACTCCAACAGCTGAGTTTCCTTGAGCTTTTGTCAACAGAACCCCAAATATGGCGGCGCCAGGAAGAAAAAATCGCACGCGGCAATGAAGCACCGCCCCTTCCTGCTGGTTGCACACCTGATTGGGCAATTTGTTAAAGCCATGCCCCCAAGACCCTGATTGGCAACAAAGACCCACCTATTAGGCCTGACTGACTGGAGAAACGGCTCCCGCGTGGCTGGGTGCAGCCGAAGTGATTCTAGCCGGGCCCTGAGTAGGCAGGGCTTACTCTGTGTCCAGGGCTGGCCCGATCTGGGCGACTACTGCATTTAAGATAATTGGCCCCTGGCCTTCCAGAGTGGGCACTCACTTCTTTCTGTCCTCAGTGGGCCCTTCCTGCTTGTTCCTACTGGAAATGACGTCACAAGTGAGCTCAGGCGTTCCAGACTCTGTGCACGATGGAGACAACCTATGACCTCAGAGAAGGAGGAGTGGCCAGGCCAGGCCACTGGGACAGGAGGAGGGTCTGATGTCCTGAGAACTCAGGAATTTGGGGTAAGACAGTTAGCTTCATGGCCAACGGTTTTCTCATACCTTATCTCTCAATTTTTTTCATCCAAGAACAAAAAATCATGCCAATCATGGAATGCAATCATTACATGAACAACCTGGAAGTTATATAGCAGCAGTGTTCTGTAAAGGCGTCAAGAGGGGTAAGGAGTAAGCAGTTGAACTAGCTCAGAGAAGTAGCCTGCTTCCCCCACAGTAACCAAAGAAAACTCATCTGCAGAAGTTAAACACTTTCCTAGCTGGGGAGCCAAATTCTGACAGCTAAAATAGAGCCACGCAACGGCTCAGTACCTGGTGATGAGGCACAGGCACTTAAGGGTTTAACTCTGGAAACACAGCTCGACTTCCTGTCCCTTGCTCTTGTAACCCTGCCAAATACATCTTTTCCTTTTCATACTCTGATGAATAAATGCTAACTACTGAGCTTGTAACCATCTGAAGTGTCTGTTCAAACAGATAATTCTTGCTTGTGAATTCCAGAAAGAGGCCATGGGAAAGACAGCTGACGTTGCAAAGTCATCTGATACTCCTTGGTCAGCATGAACAGAGTGTTGAATTTATCATCACAGACTATAAGGGGTATGAATAATTAAGGGCACAATAATCATAGATTCTAAGCTGAATTGGTCTCATCCTGGTGAATGTAACACTGGAATCTCTTAACACAATTATTTCATCTCTTTCAGATCCCAGCCAAACATTGTTTTGTAGTTGCTTAGTTGTACAGAAAAAAAAATCCTGCTATGCCTTCTTTCATGACAAAGTCAAGTCACCAGCAAGTTTGTCGAGGAACTGCATTGATGCCTGAGATTGGTAAAATACCCTGTCATCAGACCTACAACTGACTGCAGGACTCAACTATCTACTCTTTTTTTTTTTTTTTTTTTTGCAAGGCAGAGTTAGACAGAGAGAGAGTTATAGACAGTGAGAGAGAGACAGAGAGAAAGGTCTTCCTTCCGTTGGTTCATTCCCCTAATGGCCGCTACGGCCTGCACTGCGCCGATCTGAAGCCAGGAGCCAAGTACTTCTTCCCGGTCTTCCATGCGGGTGCAGGGACCCAAGCACTTGGACCATCCTCCGCTGCCCTCCCGGGCCACAGCAGAGAGATGGACTGGAAGAGGAGCAACCGGGACTAGTACCCTGTGCCCCAACCAGGACTAGAACCCGGGGTGCCGGCGCCACAGGCAGAGGATTAGCCCAGTAAGCCACAGCGCCAGCCTCGACTGCCTACTCTTGTCTTGGCATCGGTCACGTCATTAGCAGCCCAAATTCCCTTTGGGGCTCTGGAAAAGCCCTAGGCCACCCTGACCGAGGAGCACAGTAGTTCTTGAGACACACACACACCCAGGTCTGCTACCTTCCTCAGCCACCAGTGAATTAAAATTTCTCTTTCTTTTATCTTCAGACCTTGCTCTCATTATTCCAACTCAGCTTCACTGACAAGGATAAGACTCTGGGTAACATTCTGGGTGTGGAACCTCTCTCTCCTTCAACACCTTAGTATTCACCAGCAAGAAACTCTCACCTGGAGTCTGTTTATGATTTTCACAGAACTAAACAGGTAAGCTCATAAACCCTTTCTTCAAAAGATGACCTGAAGGAGCCTTTCTCTAAGGCTGATCTCCCTAGACGTCATTCATAGATTCAAATTACAGCAACTCTCTGCATCCCAGGGCGCAAACACTGACCAGAAAATGGCCCCAAGGCAACCGGAGTGACAACCTTAGGAAGGAGTGGAAACTTCAGTCACACCTGCCTGTGGGCTTTCTGCTTTCCAGTGCTCTTCTGGTTCTCAGGGGCCAGACTTCCAGGCAGCTGGAGGCCACCTACAGGGAGGGCAGGTGTCCAGGAAGCAGTAATGGCAATGTCACTCTTCTTCCTTTGCAAGCCCAAGTTTGGCCATGGAGTCATTGGCCTGGGCCCTCTGCTCCCCACTGCGGGTTAGTCACCTGCTTCACACCACCATTGGTGAGTTAAGTGGGAGAGAGGCCCTCAAACCCATTGCTTTCGCAAGAAACCAGCAGACTCCCTGTTTACCTCCTGTGTTTATAAAATAGAGGAAAATGCTAAGATACTTGAAATGGATTTTAAAACTGGCAAATAATGATTCTTTTGAGAAACAGATTCTAGCTTACAGCTAGTAAACACATTGCTATGTACAGCAACACATCAAAGGTGAAGTCTCCCCTTTTCCTCTCCTCCAGCAGCTCCCTGCCCTTCACAGTTCATGGTTGCCATCAGGTGTTAGGATTTACACGTCCAGTTTACTCACTTGAAACACTCTTTGACCCCGCCCCCCACTGACCTGTCAGTGACATCTATGACTAGATCCTGAATGTTGTATGAATAGCCACCTTTTTCAAGCAGCCTATTGTCCCATGTTGAATCCACCTGTGGCCACCAGAAGTGCTCAGCCTAAACTATGTATTTGAAATTTTCTTCCAACATAGACAGTGTTATCTAGGTTGTATCTTGGGAGTACCATGTCCCTCTTCTTTGAGCCTGTTCTTTACCTAACACATCACCTGCTCCTGAAGGGCACTGTTATGGTTTGCCATGCCATCACCAGATGCTGAACCCAGGGAGCCTCCAAACCTTGAGCTTGGAACTCATGAAACTTGAGCTGAAATAAACATCCCTCCTTCAAAAGTAGCTTATCTTAGATATTTCACTGTAGTGATGAAAAGACTGGCTGATAAGGCACACACTAATTATTACGATGTTAGGGCTTAGTTCTAATTCCTGACACAAAATCTTCATTCCTACTGGTCTTCCACATCATGGAAACTGCCCATCCCCCACCAATTCCAACTCTCCAGGGCTCACGGGTTATACCATAGTCCCTTTTTTTAAACTTTTATTTAATGAATATAGATTTCCAAAGTACAGCTTATGGATTACATTGGCTTCCCCCCACCATGACTTCCCTCCCACCCACAACCCTCCCCTTTCCCGCTCTCTCTCCCCTTCCATTCATATCAAGATTCATTTTCAATTTTCTATATATATACAGAAGATCAGTTTAGTACACATTAAGTAAAGATTTCAACAGTTTGCACCCACATAGAAACACAAACTGAAAAATACTGTTTGAGTACTCGTTATAGCATTAAATCTCAATGTACAGCACATTAAGGACAGAGATCCTACATGAGGAGTAAGTGCACAGTGACTCCTGTTGTTGACTTTACAAATTGACACTCCTGTTTATGGCATCAGTAATCTCCCTATGCTCCAGTCATGAGTTTCCAAGGCTATGGAAGCCTTTTGAGTTCTCCGACTCTTATCTTGTTTAGACAAGGTCATAGTCAAAGTGGAAGTTCTCTCCTCCCTTCAGAAAAAGGTACCTCCTTCTTTGAAGACCTGTTCTTTCCACTGGGATCTCACTCACAGAGATCTTTCATTTAGGTCCTTATTTTTTTTTTTTTTTTTTTTTGCCAGAGTGTCTTGCTTTTCCTGGCTGAAAAACTCTCGGGGGCTTTTCAGCTGGATCTGAATGCCTTTAGGGCTGATTCTGAGGCCAGAGTGCTGTTTAGGACATCTGCCATTCTATGAGTCTGCTGTGTATCTCGCTTCCCATGTTGGATCGCTCTCCCCTTTATTTATTCTATCGGTTAGTATTAGCAGGCACTACACTTGTTTATGTGATCCCTTTGACTCTTAGTCCTTTCATTATGATCAATTGTGAACAGAAGTTGATCACTTGGACTAATGAGATGGCATTGGTACATGACACCTTGATGGGATTGAATTGGAATCCCCTGGTATGTTTCTAACTCTACCACTTGGGGCAAGTCAGCTTGAGCATGTCCCAAATTGTACATCTCTTCCCACTCTTATTCCCACTCTTATATTTAACAGAGATCACATTTCAGTTAAATTTTAACACTTAAGAATAACTGTGTGATAATTACAGAATTAAACCAGTCATATTAAGTAGAACAGACGAAAAACTACTAAGAGGGATAATGTATTAAGTTGTTCATTAACAGTCAGGGCTATGCTGATCAAGTCATAGTTTCTCATAGTGTCCGTTTCACTTCAACAGGTTTCCTTTTTGGTGTTCAGTCAGTTGTCACCGATCAGTGAGAACGTATGATATTTGTCCCTTTGTGACTGGCTTATTTCACTCAGTATGATGTGTTCCAGATTCCTCCATTTTGTTGCAAATGACTGGATTTCATTGATTTTTACTGCGGTATAGTATTCTAAAGAGTACATATCCCATAATTTCTTTATCCAGTCTACCATTGATGGCATTTAGGTTGGTTCCAGGTCTTGGCTATTGTGAATTGAGCTGCAATAAACATTAGGGTGCAGACCGCTTTTTTGTTTGCCAATTTAAATTCCTTTGGGTAAATTCCAAGGAGTGGGATGGCTGGGTCGAACAGTAGGGTTATCTTCAGGTTTCTGAGGAATCTCCAGACTGACTTCCGTAGTGGCTTGACCAGTTTGCATTCCCACCAACAGTGGGTTAGTGTCCCTTTTTCCCCACATCCTCGCTAGCATCTGTTGTTGGTAGATTTCTGAATGTGAGCCATTCTAACCGGGGTGAGGTGAAACCTCATTGTGGTTTTGATTTGCATTTCCCTGATTGCTAGTGATCTTGAACATTTTTTCATGTGCCTGTTGGCCATTTGGATTTCCTCTTTTGAAAAATGTCTATTGAGGTCCTTGGCCCATCTCTTAAGTGGGTTGTTGGTTTTGTTTTTGTGGAGTTTCTTGATCTCTTTGTACATTCTGATTATTAACCCTTTATCTGTTGCATAGTTTGCAAATATTTTTTCCCATTCTGTCGGTTGTCTCTTCACTCTCCTGACTGTTTCTTTTGCAGTACAGAAACTTCTCAATTTGATGCAATCACAATAGTTGATTTTGGCTTTGACTGCCTGTGCCTCCTGGGTCTTTTCCAGAAACTCTTTGCCTGTGCCAATATCTTGAAGGGTTTCTCCAGTGTTCTCTAATAACTTGATGGTGTCAGGTCATAGATTTAGGTTTTTAATCCATGTTGAGTGGATTTTTGTGTAAGGTGTAAGGTAGGGGTCTTGCTTCATGCTTCTGCACGTGGAAATCCAGTTTTCCCAGCACCATTTATTGAATAGACTGTCCTTGCTCCAGGAATTAGTTTTAGATCCTTGATCAAATATAAGTTGGCTGTAGATGTTTGGGTTGATTTCTGGTGTTTCTATTCTGTTCCATTGGTCTATCCATCTGTTTCTGTACCAGTACCATGCTGTTTTGATTACAACTGCCCTGTAGTATGTCCTGAAATCTGGTATTGTGATGCCTCCGGCTTCGTTTTTGTTGTACAAGATTGCTTTAGCTATTCGAGGTCTCTTATGCCTCCATATGAATTTCAGCATCATTTTTTCTAGATCTGAGAAGAATGTCTTTGTATACCATAGTCCCTTAATGCATCATTCCTCTGTCATGCTAGACCTTTGCACTGATAAAAAATAAAAAAAATAAATAGACCTTTGCACTGGGTGTCCCCTCTACATGGAACCCTCTCCCACCACTCTAGAAACTAAGTGTTGGTTCCTTTGAAAAGCTAAACAAAGTTGACAACCAATTCTCTGGACCAGGTAAGAAAAGACTTAAATAAAGTTGGAAAGAAAGAGGATATGTTAAAATTGATACCAGTGAAATACAAGAGATTGTAACAGACTACCATAAACATTCATATACCAAGAAATTCAATAACCAAATTCCAAGAAATATGTAACCCATAAGAGTGAGTCATTTAAAAAAAATATGAGGCTTGAATTTGAAGCAGAAAGAGAACTCACATCTGCTGATCCATTTGCTAAATGCCCACCACATCTGGGACGGGGTCAGGCCAAAGTCAGGAGCCTGGAACTCAGTCTGGATCTCCCACATGGGTGGCAGGGACCCAACTACTTGAGCTACCAACTGCTGCCTCCCAGGGTGCACACAGTAGCAGGAAGCTGGAATTGGGAGTGGAGCTGAGACTCAAACCTAAGCACTCCAATTTGGAATATGGTCATCCCAAACAGGGTCTTAACTGCTGTACCAAATGCTCACCCACTCCCAGCACTTCTATTCAACATAGTACTGGAATCCTAGCTAGATCAATTTGACAAGAGAAAGAAACAAAAGGCATCCACATCAGTAAGGAAGAAGTAAAATTGCCTGTTTACAGATGACATGATGTTATAGATAGAAAACTCTCAAGATGCCACCCAAAACCTTATAGAACCAATAAGGAAGGGGAGGCATTGCCTGTAAGTGCCCGACCACCCAAACCAGAGAGGTTCAGAAAAGCTGGTGGGGGACGGGTTCACAGGAAGAGTGTCATTTCAGCTGAAGCATTCTGCTCCAGGGCCAGATGGAAAGGTAAGGGTGTACCAGGCAGCATCTGGTGGAGGGAGGTGGGAGGAATGTGCAAAGGACCTGAGGAAGGAAAATGATTGTCCATTTGAGGAATACGAAAAAGACCAATATTACAGGGAGCATGGGCAGAAAGGGCTTGGAAGTGCCTCAAGAAGTCTAAAAAGTCAGGCAGGACCCAATGATCCAACCAGACACCATCAGTAGTGAAACAAGCCAGAACCATGAGCGATCTGATTGTATACAATAAGCACACAACATCCTGTCTATGATATTCCAGCCAAGGATGCATGGCCTGATCTTAATTATGAGAAATATCACATGAGCCTAAATGAATTGACATTCTATAAAAGAATGGGCCTATAATCTTTCCAAATGTCAAAGTCACAAGAATCATCACAATACTGATTAACTGTGGAAGAGAGAAGGAAAACTTGAAGACACATGGGAGTAAAGGCAATACCTCCTGGCTGTGAACTGGACCGTTTTTTTGCAAAGGAATTTGTTGGAGAATCTGGCAAAACTTTGATGAGGTGTGAGATTTACTTGATAATAATGCCCCATTATTCATTTCCTTACATTGGTACTTTGTATTGTGGTTAGACAGGAGAAAGTCTTAAGTACTCAAAGGCGTACCAATGTGTTTAGGGATGATATGATACAATATAAAAAATTACTCTCAGATGGTTAGGGGAAAATATTTGATTGAACTTGCAAATCTATAAATCTGTTATTGCTAATTACATTATTAAAGAAAAAATGGATGGAGCCTTCAATTCAACAATTCCACCTACCATAAACATGACTTTAAAAAACACCCCAGGAATTTAAATATAATTTTAAAAAATAAAATATGATTTTATCATGAAAAAAAAGTCTTTGGGGATTCCAATACAAAGGACCTTCCCCCATAGTCCCAGTGGCCCAAAGATGACACCCATCTACACTGGGGACACTGACTGTGATACTCACCTAAGGGCAGGCGGGCTCCCACAGTGGCCGCAACACCTGAAAAGTTGATTTCAGGTAAATTAGATGATAACTAGCCACACTTCAGAAGCATTTGACAACCCACAGGCTCTCCATAGCATTGCAAGGACAGAGACCTGTGCTTGTTTTAGCTGTGTTTATTGAGCAACTATGAGGTGCCGGGTGCTGGAAACACAATGATTAGCAATTGCAGAGTGACCCTAGACTCTTAGGGGGAAAGTTGAGTGGGGAAAGAGGGTGGGTGTTGAACAAGTAATTAGTAATTTACATGACAGAGGCTGGTGAGTGTCCAGATGGAGGAGGAGAAATCTTACATTCACCTTCCACGGTGCAGTCTGGGAGGAATGTCCACATGGGCTGCCCTTGGCACCAAGTGCTTTGCTGCGTTGGTTCCAGGGTGCAGGTAAAGGTATCCAGCCAATTAGAGCTCTGGGAATCTGGTGCCTGGGCCCACAACAGGCCACCTCCAATTTCCACTTCCATCTCTTGCTACTAATCAGACACCTGACTCTGGGCATGAGGGCTGAGCAGGAAGACTACTTGGAGACCATTCCTCTGAGGTGGGGCGCACCTGTGACTCTGCTCCCACATTGGCCCCGAGCTCTGGGTCAAACTTTTCTGCCTGAAGCTACGTGAGTGATCCTTAGGGACTCTCCAACTTGCACAGGTGAAGTGGAGGTGGTAATTGTGTGTCAACTTTTAATGAGTCCTCAGGTGTCATTGGAAACCCAGGAGTTTCTTCATTATTGAAACTTGCAATTGGTTTCCTTGGGATTGCTACAGCGGCACAGTTCAGCGGTTTGTACAGGCAGGAATCCCATTGGTCTCATTAGTGCCAGTCAAGACTGTAACTTGGCCATTACTGCTGTGTCTTCCAGGAAGCATGCCCAGGGGCCATGGTAATTCGGGCACCAAGAGCTTCAGGGAGGAGCTGGTGGTGATGAGTTCAGATGAACTCTGCTAATTACCTGGTGTACACATTATCACATCAACTGAATTCCCGGAGAGCTTGTGTGGACCCACTGGCATTGTGCATTGTTGATTTCTCTTTTGGGTCTTAAAACACAGATGAAAGACACAGGGAGATACGTATAATAGCATAACTTCATGCTTCAGGGCACTGATTGACATCAGACAGACCCAAGTTCAAATCCTGGCCCAGCCACTTTCTAACTGTATGATGCTGAGGAAGTGAATTGCCCTGTCTGAGTCTCTGGCTGCAGATGGGACAGCTAACAGCACCAGCACAGGCCTCACAGTATGATGTATGTAAACTTACAGGCACTTAGCAAACACTAGAGAATATTATGCTGTCAGTGTGTTGAGTCCTGAAGGTTTGGACGCAGTTGATTGCACCAACTCATCGCTTCACCTGCCATCCAGGTGAGAGAGAGACATACTCCACCCATTGGCCCATCTGGGTCTCCCACATGGGTGGCAAGGGCCCAGGTACTTAGGCCATCATCCACAGCCTCCCAGGATGCATTTGCAGGAAGCTGCACTGGAAGCGAAGCCAGGACTCAGACTGGTGCCCTGATATGGGATGTGGTCATTGCAATTGGTGGCTTCATACGCTGTGACACGACACCTGTCTCAGAGATTAGGGCTTTAACGTAGGAACTGGGGATTGGGCAGACACACGCATCCCACCTATAACACTGACCTGAAGCTCAAGTTGTTGGACAAAAAGCTAGAGGCCACTCCTAGTTTCTGATGGCTTGGTCCCATGACCCTGGAAGAGAATCATATATAATCTCTTTGTTCTGCAGCTGGGATAGAGGATTCCACGTCAGCCCCTGCCCCCCATACAATGTCAGGCAGATACTAAGGTTGAGAGCAGCGAGAACAATGACCAAATCGGATTCCTATTGGACCTGATTTACAGCGACATTTTGTGGGGAAGGATTATTCCCACAAGAAACTGATCTTGGGCTGTGACTCTCCAGCCGTGAGTGACATTCTTGTAAACAAGTGAACCTGGGGGCCAGGGTCACGGAACAATCATGTCTAACTCTTTTTTTATTCCCATTCAACAGGTATTTTCTGAATATCTACCATGATGGGTTTTAACTGCTCCTGGATACATCAGTGGGATGGTAATAATAAAATGTCACTTAGCTGGTTCTCCCTGTTGACCCAACCATTCACTCATAGGTCTCATTCCTCCCACTGTTTTAACAGTCTTTACCAAGAACCACCTGCACTGTTATGTATTACCTTTTGTATACATTTTAAAGTTTTTTTCTTTCGTTTATTTGAGGGAGAGTTCTCTCTCCTACTGGTTCACTCCCCAAATGCCTACAATCACTAGGACTGGGTCAGGTAGAAACCAGGAGCCAGGAACTCAATCCAGGTCTCCTATGTGGTGGCAGAGACCAAACTACTAGAGGCATTTTTGCTGTCTCCAAGAATTTGAGTCATCAGGAAGCTGCAGTCAAGAGTGGAGCTAGTTGCAGGCATGGAAAGCCAAGACACTGTGGCAAAAAAATAAATGTCCTACATGAAGGATCTCTGTAAGTGAGACCCAGTGGAAAGGGGCCATCAAAGAAGGATGTACTTTTCTCTGAAGGCAGGAGATAACTTCCACTTTGTTTATGGCCTTGTCTAAATACTGACAAAGATTGTGGACTCAAAAGGCTTCCATAGCCTTGGCAGCTCATGTCAAGAGACACCTGGAAGTCAGAAATATTATTTGCGCATGTGTGTCCAAGCCTAAATGAGATTTTCACATCCCTTTCTTTCCTGGAAGAACAAAGACCTTTTTATTCTTTTCATTAACATACAATTCCTGGTTCACTCCCCAATGGCTGCAATGGCTGGGACTAGCCCAATCCAAATCCGGGACCCCAGAGCTCCATCCAAGTCCCCCACATGGGTGGCAGTACTTGGGCCATCCTTCGCTGCTGTCCCAGGAGCATTAGTGGGGATCTGGATTGGAAGCTGAGCAGCCAGGACTCAACTGGTGCTCCAGTGTGGGATGCTGGCATTGCAGTCAGCAGCTGAACCACAACCCTAGCCCCAGGATTTCCATTGTTTTAACAGGACTTCATGTTTAGAGCCTTCCAACTGCTCCACGCTATCTCTTTGTGAAATCTAAAATGTGTTGCTGTAAACTGTGGTCCCACCCATTGTGCTGTGAGACACTAGACATTATCCCTTCTATCTGTGCTTCAGTGTGTGTTATTCAACCTCTGCCTGCCCTCTTCCCCACTCCCCACCCTTTGCAGACTTTAGGAATCACTACTCTGTGATCAAGGGGAGACTTTTATATCTGCCACATCACTTGGATTTCCATCCTCTGGAAAGTTCAGTTATCCACCACGTTGCTTCCCATCTTCCTGGAACTAATAGTGGAAAAACTCTTTCCCTTCTCCCCTGGGAATACTTCCAGTCTCAAAAGCTCCATCTCCCATGGCTGCTAATTTTTCTCTGACAAAGGAAGAAAGATAAAAAGAAGATGGCCAGTGGGACATCATTCTCCCAAAGGCATCTATCCTTAGAGAACCTTGCCACTGATGCCCTGGACCAAGGAAATACTCATTTGCAAAAGGTGCTGGTTTCCAAGGTTTTTTTTTATCAAGGAAAAGAGAGGTATCTATAGGAGCAGGGGTGCTGGGGAAGCTCTCAGACCCTGGAAAGTGGAGTGAGAGCCAGGAGCTCCACTGCTTGTGGGAGTCTCAGATCTAAGCATGATTAGAGAGAAGATATCGGGGAGCAACAAAGAACCTAAGGAGCTATCATTTTACATTCATTTTTATGATCATGCTTGATGGGCTTGATTACCAAGGTATTTCAAACATTCTTGGCAAATATAATTAAGAGATGAATTTATTTTAGTGTAAAAAAATTTTATATCCATGCATGCAAAATTTTATTTTTCATGAACTTTTTGAAAACTACTTCATGTGCATGGATTTTTAAATTTCCATCAAAATACTTATCTTTTAGGCTGGCACTGCGGCTCAATAGGCTAATCCTCAACCTGCAGCGCCGGCACACCGGGTTCTAGTCCCGGTCGGGGCTCCAGATTCTGTCCCGGTTGCCCCTCTTCCAGGCCAGCTCTGAGCAGTGGAGGATGGCACAAGTGCTCGGGCCCTGCACCTCATGGGAGACCAGGAGAAGCACCTGGCTCCTGACTTCAGATCGGCTTGGTGCGCTGGCCGCGGTGGCCATTGGAGGGTGAACCAACGGCAAAGGAAGACCTTTCTCTCTGTCTCTCTCTCACTGTCCACTCTGCCTGTCAAAAAAAAAATACTTATCTTTTAATTGCATTTCATGCTAACTTTTTTTGAGAGGCAGTTAAAAAAGACAGAATTCCCATGTGCTGGTTCACTCCCCAAATGCCTACGATGGCCAGAGTTGAGCTGGGCTGAAGCTGGGACCTGGGAATCCCATCAGGTCTCCCACGTAGGGGTAGGAACCCAATTACTTGAGCCAGCACCACTGTCTTCAAAGGTTGTGCATTATCAGGAAACTGGAGTCATGAGCTGGAGCCAGGATTCAAAGCCAGGCACTCTAATGTGGGACACAGGCATCTTAACCTCTAGCTAAACACCTACTCGTCCATTAATTCTTTTGAAGTGCCTTCGTATATGCAGGTATTTGGAAGGAAAGTGGATGTTTCTGCATCTTTATCTTCCTTGGCATGCAAGTGAGCATCTGATCATTTGTTTATTCTCCAGCAATCAATACTTTCCTTAGGGAAGGTCCTTTTGAACTTACACAGAAGCTGTTAAGTAGGGAAGACCTGCAGCTCTTGGTAATTGCTGGGAGGTTACACCTGGGACATGCTTCCTGGCCAAGCTGGGAGAGACCTTCTACCCAGCCCCCCATCTGGGGGACAGTCTAAATAAAAGGCACTTGGAGCAGGCATTTAGGCTAGTAGTTAAGATGCCCATGTCCCACATCAGAGCACCTGGGTTTGGTGCCCAGCTCCTGGTCCTGACTGCAGCTTCCTGCTAAGAGCTGTGAGGCAGCGACAATGTTCCGAGCAATTGGATTCTTGCCACTAAAGTGTAAGACCTGGATTGAGTTCCTGACTCCTAGCTTCAGAACTTCAACCTGGCCCAGAACTAGCCATTGCAGGCACTTGGGCAGTGAACTAGATGAGAGTAATCCACCCCTCCCTTTCTCTCCCTCCTCTCGCTCTCTCTCTCTCTCTCTCACACACACACACACTCACACACACACATACACACACATAAATTTTAAAAATTTAAATAAAAAACAAGGCAGGGGCCGGGCCATGGCTCACTTGGTTAATCCTCCACCCACAGCACCAGCATCCCATGGGGGCACTGGTTCTCGTTCCAGTTGCTCCTCTTCCAGTCCAGCTCTCTGCTGTGGCCCGAGAGGGCAGTGGAGGATGGCTCAAGTGCTTGGGCCCCTGCACCTGCATGGGAGATCAGGAGGAGGCACCTGGCTCCTGGCTTCGGATCAGTGCAGCGCCGGCCATGGCGGCCATTTGGGGAGTGAACCAACGGAAGGAAGAGCTTTCTCTCTGTCTCTCTCTGTCTCTCTCTGTCTCTCTCTCTCTCTCTCTCTCTCTCACTGTCTATAACTCTATCTGTCAAATAAATTTTTTAAAAAAGGCAAACACACCCTGAAGAATTTTTCAGGTCAAAACAGGTTAGCTTGCAGAGCTAAGGCACCAAGAGCCAAAACTGGAAGAGGGCCGGCGCCGCGGCTCACTAGGCTAATCCTCCGCCTAGCGGCGCCGGCACACCGGGTTCTAGTCCCGGTAGGGGCGCCGGATTCTGTCCCGGTTGCCCCTCTTCCAGGCCAGCCCTCTGCTGTGGCCAGGGAGTGCAGTGGAGGATGGCCCAGGTGCTTGGGCCCTGCACCCGCATGGGAGACCAGGAAAAGCACCTGGCTCCTGGCTCCTGCCATCGGATCAGCGCGGTGCGCCGGCCGCAGCGCGCCGGCCGCGGCGGCCATTGGAGGGTGAACCAACGGCAAAGGAAGACCTTTCTCTCTGTCTCTCTCTCTCACTGTCCACTCTGCCTGTCAAAAATTTAAAAAAAATTAAAAAAAACTGGAAGAGCAGAGAGAATACATGATTTGGGATCACTCAGAGAGAGGTTCAGCTCCCAGATCTGCCAGTCAATTCCTTTGTCACCTTAGACATATCACCACAGTAAGAATTTCCCTTGTAGATTTTACTCATTCAGCAGATCTTTATGAAGTACTTGCTGTGTGCCTGAGCTCTGTGGTTGGGAATAAAGGTGAGAGGAGAGGGAGAGAGAGAGAGAGAGAGATTGATTCTTTGTGAACTGAATTTTCAAGTAACTCATTCATTGAGTTACTTCAGACAAAGGCAGGTTCATAGGTTGGGAACATTTTCCCATCCATGAGTCCCTTCCTCCAAAAAAGCTATTTTTAGTAGTAAAAAAACTATTTTACAGCTAATTATTTATTTAAAAATATATATACTCTGGATTGGATAGAGTTGTCTTTTTATCTGAATTCTAAAACATTAAAACATTTTCATGGGCTTTAGGTCCCCTGTGCCTGATTGAGAATGAGTTCTATTGTGGAAGGAAGATATTGAGAAGGTTGTGTGGGCAACAGGAAGTCAACTGACCCTGATGTCTCTTCTCTTCCTCATTTTCAGCAAATGGCATCAGATCATAAATTAAAGCAGCAAGGAAATAAATGCAAAAAGAGCTGTTAGAATAAACTCCATAAAAGCCTGTTACAGGGGACTCTTCACCCTAAGGCACCAGAGAGCAGATTTAGAATAAAGAGATAATGCACCCAGGTTCATCCTGAACCAAGCTCTGTCTCTGTCCAGCTTTGCCTCCCTGCCCAGGGAACGAGACTCTAGAGGAGTGAAGCATTGTTTTCCTAAGATGTCCTGAAAGAATAATGTATCCAGCGCCCAAGAAAACCAATTCCTAAGAAGATTATGGTCTTTCTGGAGAAGCCACTTGCACAAAGGTTCCAAAAGCCAATGGGGTCAAGGTCTTCTTTATAGCGGCGTCATTAACAGGCGGACCACCACCCTCCAACTCTGGAAGGAAAAGTGAAGTTGTGAAAACACAAGGTTGAGAGTTTAAAGGTAGGAAGTTGGTCTTTTGCTGGGAAAGCATCAAGAAGATCTCAGTCTTCAAAGGCAGGGAGACCTGAAATACCTGGGCTAGTTGTACTGAGTTCAGATCGTGTTCCAGACCAACCAACCCTTCTTGAAAGTAAACCAGTTGACCTGCATGACATCAACTCAAGATGAGGATGGGAGGGGCTGTTGATCAGCCAACAATGGAAAGGACCACCACCATGCCAGAGCCAGGTGAGTGATGCACAGAGCACTAGGGCAAAAAGACCCAGGAGCACCATGGATCCTGGGTCTGGAGGGGCAGTCTCTGCCCCAGCACCAGCAGAAAGACAGTCACTTTATAAAGAGCTAAACATGACATGACTGGGGCAGGAGAGCCAAGGCTTCACATGGAGAATCAGTTCCTGGATGATTCATTCCAGTGCTGGTGGCAGAAACTAAGACGTGCAGGGAAAGCAGGAGCTTTGGAGTTACATCAGCTCTTGCTCAGAAATTGATTCTACCGCTCATGAGCTGGATGATCATGGGCTGGTGTCTTAGTTTTTTGGTGGAGAGGCTATCATAAAATAGCACAAGGTGGGTAGGCCAAAACAACAGAAACTCCTGACTCTGAAGGAGTCCTATTGACTCTTTCTGGATGCTATGAGGGAGGACCCTTCCCATGCTTCCGTCTCAGCTTCTGGTGGCTCCAAGTGTTCCAATGTCTACCATCTTTTCTTTCTCTCTATTTATCTTCTTTTCTTCTTGGAAGGACACCTGTCATTGGATTTAACATTCATCCTAAATCTAAAGTGGTTTCATCTTGAGACTCTAATTCCTTCTGCAAAGACACTTTACAAATAAAGCCACATCGAAGTGCCAAGTAGACATGAATTTGAGAGGGTGTTCAACCAAGTTCAATCAGTTACTGTACTTGGAATCTCTGCTCACTCAACCATGAAATGCAGTTAATAACATCTACAGGCTGAATAGGGGGGAAATGCCGATAAAATGCATAGAATATCTACCCCAAAATGTCAACAGTCAAGGTTGAAAGCCCCTTCAACTGAAATCCATCTTCCCTTGATGACCTTAAAATGGTTCTTGGTAAATAGTGTTTGACAGCAATCTGCTCCTTTTTGTTCCCTTTCAGGAGGGATGGATGTGAAAAGAACCAAGTCCATAAGTACGTAGTCTGCTTGAAAATCCTTTGGCATGGTCCAGACAGTCTGCTTGGGTATAAGTTGGCCCCAAAGGATGAGGATTAAACAAGAAACCCTTCTCTAGGTAGAAATGTAGAAACAGTGAAATTCTCCAGTGACGCAATTTTATTGCTATTTCCTTTAAAATGTACCTGAAAATACAACAGAGAAATTTCTAGTCTTGCCTATGATATGATACAAATCTCTACTGAAACACCAAGTCAATAGATTCAAAACACCTTCCTGAGGCTCTATCCAAGACACAGAAGAACTGAGGAACTTCAGTTCTTTTTAAAATATATATTTATTTGGGCCGGCGCCGCGGCTCACTAGGCTAATCCTCCGCCTAGCGGCGCCGGCACACCAGGTTCTAGTCCCGGTAGGGGCGCCGGATTCTGTCCCGGTTGCCCCTCTTCCAGGCCAGCCCTCTGCTGTGGCCAGGGAGTGCAGTGGAGGATGGCCCAGGTGCTTGGGCCCTGCACCCGCATGGGAGACCAGGAAAAGCACCTGGCTCCTGGCTCCTGCCATCGGATCAGCGCGGTGTGCCGGCCGCAGCGCGCCGGCCGCGGCGGCCATTGGAGGGTGAACCAACGGCAAAGGAAGACCTTTCTCTCTGTCTCTCTCTCTCACTGTCCACTCTGCCTGTCAAAAAAAAATATATATATATATATTTATTTGATTATTTGAACAGCAGAGTTACAGAGAGAGAGAGACAGAGACAGAGACAGGGAGGCAGACAGAGAGAAAGAGATCTTCCATCTGCTGGTTCACTCACCCAAAGGGCTACAATGAGTGAAGTTGGACCAGGCTAAAACCAGGAGCCTGGAGCTCCATCCAAGTCTCCCCTGTGGGTGGCACTTGGGCCATCTTCTGCCGCTTTCCCATGCACAATAGCAGGGAGCTGGATCAGAAGTGGAGCAACTGGGACACAAACAGGTGCTCACATGGGATGCTTGTGTTGCAAGTGGCAGCTTAACTCATTGCTCCATCACACTGGACCTGGGTTTAGTTCTTAACGTTGGCACTATTGGCCTTTGGATCATACAATTTTTTGTGTTGGGGCCTTCCTTGTGCTTTATAGTATGTTGAGCAGCATTCCTGGTCTCCATCAGTCATGATCCATAAGCACACCCTAGTCATAACACCCCAAAATGTCTCCAGGTATTAGCAACACCCTCTGAGTAAGAGAAGAAGGCAAAAATTACATCTAGTTGAAAGTACTGAGTTAGGGTGAAAACAGAGGAACTGTCATTTTAATAAAATGTAATTTAAAATGACCTAAAAATAATCAAATTTGGCCATGCAAATGAGCAAGAGTGATAATGATAAATAATATCAAGAAAGAACTAAAATGATTGAATAGCCTTACTTACTACATGCCATACACTAAGCTAAGCATCGGGCTTACATTATCCTACCCTAGGAAGAAATTTAGAAGTCACCCATTCCATCTTTCTTGATGTTTGAATTTTATTTAACTTACGAATAATAGCTGTGAGCTTGAATCAAGAAATTACCATATGGTGGTTGGCGTGTTAAGCTCTCAAACCCATTACCTCTTTTCATCTTCAACAGCTATGAGGAGGGTGATATTATCCCTACATATAGATGGGAAAAATTGAGTCAAAGAAAAGTTAAATAACTTGGCCAAAGTCACAAGGCTAGACTGTAAATGAATAGACCTCAGAATCTTGCACTGTCTAGCACACTCCCTTAATGGTATTCCAAGCAATCCACACACCTCTCGCTTCTTCTCCTTAGAGTGACCTCTAGTAAATGATTGCACTAGATTTTAAGCACTCAAGTCAAAGGTCTCCTGTGATACTATGGTATCTATTTTTTTGTTTTCATCCACTATTCCTGGCTCATAACTCTCTTCCCAGCACATGCCAGAGAAACTAGAATTCTTCTTCCCCAAGGTAGGCTATGGAAACGTTTGTCTTTCCCTTCCTTTCTGTCTTGGAGCTGGCCCTAAGAAAATGGTCTGACCAACTTTCTCTGAGAGTAGACCACCAGGCCCTCACTGGAGAAGAGGTCTTGTCCCACAACTGGGAGGAAGAAATCCAGCAGAGAGGCCAAGGACAATCGACAGGTCTTTCTGGGTTTCCCCAAACAGCCTACTAGCGTTAGATCAGCCCCTTTTTGTGCAACCATAGTTCAGCACTGTTTCTATGCTTTAGTCATGGTTATGAATGAAGTCTTCATAAAACCAAAACAAACTAGCAAAGCATGATTCTGGAAGCTTCTAGTCAGCTGAACAGATGGAGACTTGGAGGAAAATGAACAAGATCTCATCTATGTGCCAGGAAGGTGAGACAGCTCAACAGAAACACCTGCTCTCAGGTGGGCACAGAAGCACGGGCTCCCAGGACCCTCCCCGACCTCACCCAATATATCTCTTTCCCCCAACCACTTAATTCAACCCTTTAAAACAGCCATTATGCTAGATGTTAGTTCTGTGGGTTCCGGCAGTTGTCAGAACCCCAGTTTGTAACCACTGAGTCAGAATACAATTGAAACAACCTGGGGCTTATGATTGGTATCACAAGTGGGACCGAGCCCTCAACCTGTGTACACTACTTACGGGTAGACAGACTGTCAAAACACAGTTGACTTGGAGGCCACCCAGCTGGGGTCTGTTGGTTGCCTGCAGTGTGTGGTTAATGGATCTGTGATGTGAGCTCACAGAGGAGAAACACTCTGGGGTGGAGTGGCTTCTTTCTATTTATCTCCCCCTCTGTGGTGCTCTTTCTGATGCCCCTGTCCCATCCCCACCAGGCAAAGTTGGAAATTCTGGGGACAAACTCTATTGCACTCCGTCTTCTTACTGTCCTAAGTAAGACAGCCTCAAACTCAGAGCCCTCCGAGAACAATGTTGAGGGGTCTTTGGGTTTCCAGCCCATGTATCTCCATTGACTGCATAGATAGATACTACCGCATAAAGCTCTCCATTCCATTTTGGAGTGGATTTCATTTTTCTTTTAGAATGTAGCTAACTGCAGGGCTGGCATTTTGGTCAACTATTCAAGCCACCGCTTGTGATGCCAGGATTCTGCATTGGAGCACCAGTTCAAGTCCCTATTACTCCTCTTCTGATCCAGCTTCCTGCTAATACGCCTGGGAAGACAGAGGATGATGATGCCCCAAGTCTTTGGACCTCTGCCACCCCACGTGAGAGACCCAGATGGAGTTCCTAGCTCCCAGCTTTGGCCTGGTCCAACCCTGGCTATTGTCATTTGAGGCATGAACCAGCTGTTGGAAGATCTCTGTCCATGTATCTTACTCTTTCTCTCTCCAAGTCTCCCACAGGAGTGCAAGAGGCCCAAGGAATTGGGCAATCAGCCACTGCTTTCACAAGTGCATTAGCTGGAAGCTGGATTGGAAGCAGAGCAGCTGGGACTCAAACTGGCACTCTGCTATGGGGAGCTGGCTTCACCAAGCCAGACCCACCCTCAATTTAACACATCCATCACCACGCATGCTGTACATTAGATTCCCAGAACTGGTAGATGTCATAACTGGAAATGTGGACTCTTTGATCCACCCTCTCTATTCAGCCCCCACCCCCAGGCCCTGGCAACCACTGTTCAACTCTGTTTCTATGAGTTTGATTGTTTTATATTCTTTTTTTTTTAAGATTTATTTGTTTTACTTGAAAGTCAGTTACACACAGAGAGAAGGAGAGGGAGGGAGAGAGAGAGAAAGAAAGTCTTCTATCTGTAGGTTCACGCCCCAAATGGCCACAATGGCCAGAGCTGCGCTGATCTGAAGCCAGGAGCCAGGAGCTTCCTTCGGGTCTCTCACGTGGGTGCAGGGGCCCAAGGACTTGGGCCATCTTCTGCTGCTTTCCCAGGCTGCAGCAAAGAGCCGGATCAGAAGTGGAACAGCCGAGTCTCGAACCGGCGGCCATATGCAATGACAGCACTGCAGGCGGCAGCTTTACCTGCTATGCCACAGCACCAGCCACGATTGTTTTATATTCTACATATGAGTGATGTCATGCAGTGTTTCTCTTTGACTTATTTCACTCAGTATAGTATTTTCCCATTTCTGCATATTGTTGCCAATGCCAGTATTTCCTTTCTTGTGCTGGAATAATATTCCATTTTATAATTTGTATCATATATAGTGTATGTGTGTATGCATACCATACATATATATCACATTTTTTGTCTACTCCTCTGTTGATGAACACTTAGGTTGCTCTCATATCTTTTAAAAAAAAGATTTATTTATTATTTGAAAGGCAGAGAGAGAGGGAGAGACAGAGAGAGAGAGGTCTTCCATCCGCTGGTTCACTCCCCAAATGACTGCACCAGCTGAAGCTGGGCCAATCCAAAGCCAGGAGCCAGGAGTATCCTCCAGGTCTCCCATGTGGGTGGCAGGGACCCAAGGAATTGAGCCATCTTCCACTGCTCTCCCAGGCCGTTGGTAGGGAGCTGGATTGAAAGTGGAGCAGTTGGGGCTCAAACCAGCACCCACATGGGATGTCAGCGCCCCAGGTGGAGGCTTAACCTGCTACACCACAGTGCCAGCCCTGTTCTCCTATCTTGCCTGTTGTGACTAATCCTTCAGTGAGTATGAAGATGTAGAAATCTCTTCAATACACTCCTTTCATTTCCTTTGCTTGTCTACCCAGAAGTGGGATTGCTAAAACCTGTGGTTATTATTATTATTATTATTATTGTTACTTGGGGTAACCTACACATTGTTTTCCATAATGGCTCTACAAATTTTCATTCCCACCAACAGTGAACAATGATTCCCTTTTGTCCATGCACTTGTCAATACGTCTTCACTCTTGTCCTTATAACAGCAACCCAGCAGGTGTGAGGCGCTAACTCATTGTGGGTTTGATTTGTATGAATATGCTGAGCATTTTTTCATATATGTGTTGGCCATTTGTGTGTCTTCTTTGGAAAAGCACCTATTCAATGCCTTTTCCCATTTAAAAACCTAATTATTTATTTTCCTGCTATTGAGTTGTATGAGTTTTTTTGTTTTGTTTCGCTTCTATTTGTTTTTTTTCTGGCAGGCAGAGTGGACAGTGAGAGAGAGAGAGACAGAGAGAAAGGTCTTCCTTTGCCGTTGGTTCACGCTCCAATGGCCGCCGCGGCCGGCACACTGTGGCCCACGCACCTTGCTGATCCGATGGCAGGAGCCAGGTGCTTCTCCTGGTCTCCCATGGGGTGCAGGGCCCAAGCACTTGGGCCATCCTCCACTGCACTCCCGGGCCACAGCAGAGAGCTGGCCTGGAAGAGGGGCAACCGGGACAGAATCCGGCGCCCCGACCAGGACTAGAACCTGGTGTGCCGGCACCGCAAGGTGGAGGATTAGCCTAGTGAGCCGCGGCGCCGGCCTATATGAGTTTTTTAAATACATATTTTGGATTTTAACCCCTTATCAGGTAAACAAAGTGCAAATATTTTCTCCCATTCTGTAGGTTGCCTTGAGCCATTGCTTGCTGCCTTCCGGGATCTGCGTTATCAGAAACCTGTAACCAGAAGCAGGAACTGAGACTTGAACCCAGGTAATCCAATGTGGGATACGGGCATCTTAAGCAACATCTTACATGGTAAGCCAAATGCCCAGCACCACCCCCAGTTTGTTGCATTTTGACAGAACCTTTCATCTACTCATAGAAGTCTCCCTTCAACCTCTTCATTCAAAATATATTTTCCTGGCATATTCATATAAGACCAGTCTGTAGATTTTTTACATTTATTTCTGTTTAAAAACCTGATAGTTTGCTTGTTCCCTTGTCTCTCTCTCTCTCTCTCTCTCTCTCTACCCTCCAAGAGACTTTGAGATTCATGAAAAAAATTACTGTCCATCTTTTTCACATAGCTTCTGCCTCCTTCAGTGACTGAGACACGGCTTCATGAATTTTCATTGAAATAATAAATTAATTAATAAACAAATCAATATCTGAGGACAGTATGACAGGCCCTGATGGGACAGGAAATAGGCTGAGCTGTAATTTAAGATCTTTTTTAAAATAAAGATTTACTTATTTTTATTTGAAAGGTAGAATTACAGACAGAGAAGGAGAGAGAGGGATCTTCCATCTGCTGATTCACCCCCAAAATGGCTGCAACCACCAAGGCTGGGCCAGGCCAAAACCAGGAGCAAGGAGCTTCATCTTGGTCTCCCACATGGGTTCAGGGCCCCAAGGATTTGGGCCAAATTCTGCTGCATTCCCAGGTGCATTAACAGGGACCTGGACCAGAAGTGGGGCAGCCAGGACTCGAACCGGCGCTCATATGGGATCCAGCACTGTAGGCTGTGGCTTAACCTGCTGCGTCAGAGCACCGGCCCCAGGAAGGTATTAATTTCCAACTTCAGTGTGGCATTGAGGTGAGCAATACAGATACAGATGGAGAGAGGGAGGAAGTAGACAGGCGTGGCTAAAAATCTTAAACAAGTTTCATGATTAGAGGGAACCAAGTCAGAGGTGCCCGAAGATATCCAGGGTAAAGATTAACACATACTTGGACACCAGAGTGTCCTTAGTGGAAATCCCCTCAACCATGAACCTCCCTGGCCTCTAGGTAACCCAGCTCCTTTGGATACCTGGAGAAGAAGATTTCTGCTGGCTCTCTCCAAGGTTGAACATTCCTGGTCTTAAAAGGCCAACTTCTTCCTCCGTCTCTGTATTCTACTCTGTGTTTCCTTAGTGATGGCTACAACTGCCCCTTGAACACAGGTGTTCCTAGTGCTGGGGGTGACGTGTGTGAACAGCGCGAGGGTTGAGAAGGTCAAGGATGCTTAGTGGGTTGGGGAAATCCACAGCATTCACACAACAGAGTCTTGTTGAGTATTTAATACTTGTTAAGCATAATGGCCTCAAATCCACTCTACAAAATCAAGCCTCCAAGAGCTGGTTGGTGTGCTGAATAACCCCCTCCCTCGGGACATTCAGTTCCAACCTTTGTCATCCATATGTCCCTCACCTGTGGACATCTTAGATCCATATCCTAAATATCATCCTATCTCTGATTCTTCCCAAATTTTGCTTCTTTCCTTCTCTAATCCAAGAGATCCAAGCCAGTTTACCTGTGTTCTGGACTTAATTTTTAATCCAATCTTTTTTAAAGAGTCATTTATGTATTTGAAAGTCTGAGTTACACAGAGAGAGAGGGAGAGGCAGAGAGATCAAGAGAGAGAGAGATCAAGAGAGAGAGAGGTCTTCCATCCGCTGGTTCACTCCCCAGATGACTGCAACGGCCAGAGCTACATCAATGCGAAGCCAGGAGCCAGGATCTCCATCCAAGTCTCCCAAGTGGGTTCAGGGGCCCAAGCACTTGGGCCATCTTCCACTGCTTTCCCAGGCCATAGCAGAGAGCTGGATCAGAAGTGGAGCAGCAGCCAGCACTGCAGCTCACTAGGTTAATCTTCCACCTGTGGCGCCGGCACACCTGGTTCTAGTCCCAGTTGGGGTGCCGGATTCTGTCCCGGTTGCCCCTCTTCCAGGCCAGCTATCTGCTGTGGCCAGAGAGTGCAGTGGAGGATGGCCCGAGTACTTGTGCCCTGCACCCCATGGGAGACCAGGATAAGTACCTGGCTCCTGCCATCAGATCAGTGCGGTCCACCAGCCGCAGCGCGCCGGCCACGCTGGCCATTGGGGAGTGAACCAATGGCAAAGGAAGACCTTTCTCTCTGTCTCTCTCTCTCTCACTGTCCACTCTGCCTGTCAAAAAAAAAAAATTAAAAAAAGAAGTGGAGCAGCTGGGACGTGAACCGGCATCCATATGGGATGTGGACACTGCAGGCAGCAGCTTTACCCACTATGCCACAGCACCAGCCCCTGATCCAATCTTACCATCCCTTATCATGTTGAGCAAGTTCTTCCTACTGTGCATTTTAATGTCCTTATGATCCCACCTATGCTTTGGCCCCAGGTGAGTGTTCTGGCATTCTGCTGGGGCTTGCTTGTGCCTTCTGAGCTTGCTGGCAGCCTGTGCTTCCCTGGAGGGTGAAAGCAAGACTTGTATACAGAAGTGGCAGAAGCAGGGCATCGTGTTGCTGCCCTGTATCCTGACCAGAACAGACATCATAACCAATCATGGGAGCACCTGTTCTGTGTGTCAGTTAAGATGCTGCCTGGGACACCCACATCCCATATCAGACTGCCTGGGTCTGAGTCCCAGCTCCATGTCCAATTCCAGCTTCCTTCTAATGCACGCAGAAGCAGCAGGTGGGGGCTTGAGTTGTTCTTTCCTTGCTACCCACGTAGGAGACTCAGGCTGAGTTCTAGGCTCAGCCCGAGCTGTTGCAGGCCTTTGGGGCAGTGAATCAGCAGATAGAAAATCTCTGTGTGTGCATGTGTGTCTCTCTCTGTCTCTTAAATATATAAATGTTGGGGGCCAGCATTGTGGCTTAGTGGGTTAATCCACCACCTGAAGCACCAGCATCCCATATGGGCACCGGTTTGATTCCTGGCTACTCCACTTCTCATCCAGCTCCCCGCTAATGTGCATAGGAAAACAGTGGAGAGTGGTCCAAGTGCTTAGTCCCCTGCACCCATGTGGGAGACCCAAAAGAAGCTCCAGGCTCCTAGTCTCAACCTGGCCCAGCCCCAGCCATTGTGGCCATTTGGGGAGTGAACAAGCGGATGGAAGTGCGCTCTCTCGCTCTCTCGCTCTCTCTCTCTCTCTCTCTGTAACTCTGCCTCTCAAATAAATAAAATAAATCTTTTTAAAAAAAATAAAAATCGGCCAGTGCCGTGGCTCACTAGGCTAATCCTCCGCCTTGTGGCGCCAGCACACCGGGTTCTAGTCCCGGTCGGGGCACCGGATTCTGTCCCTGTTGCCCCTCTTCCAGGCCAGCTCTCTGCTGTGGCCCGGGAGTGCAGTGGAGGATGGCCCAAGTCCTTGGGCCCTGAACCCCATGGGAGACCAGGATAAGTACCTGGCTCCTGCCTTCGGATCAGCGCAGTGCGCTGGCCGCAGTGTGCCAGCCGCGGTGGCCATTGGAGGGTGAACCAACGGCAAAGGAAGACCTTTCTCTCTGTCTCTCTCTCTCTCTCACTGTCCACTCTGCCTGTCAAAAAATAAATAAAAAATAAAAATCATCCCTACTGAGAGCCCTTACCAAACTCCCTGTTCTTCCTGCAGGTGAATGGTGCTTCTTGAAGGATGGGAGAATCAAATCAGTCAGTGAGCTCAGGTTTTAGTCTCGTGGGACTCTTCGGCCACACGGGGCCACACCTCATCCTGTTCTCCCTTGTGGCTGCCATGTTCACCATGGGGCTGCTGGGTAACACCATTCTGCTCTTCCTGATCTGCACAGACTCCAGGCTTCACACGCCCATGTATTTCCTGCTCAGCCAACTTTCTTTGTTGGATGTCGGATTTCCACTGGTCACCATCCCCAAGATGGCGGCCAACTTCCTGCAAGGACGCAGCTCCATCTCCTTCGGAGGTTGCGCAGCTCAGATGTTCTTCCTGATGCTGATGGGTGTCTCTGAAGGTGTCCTGCTGTCCCTCATGTCTTACGATCGCTACGTCGCTGTGTGCCACCCCCTGCGTTATCCCGTGCTCATGAGACGTCAGGTGTGCCTGTTCATGGTGGGCACCTCGTGGTTCTCGGGCGTGCTCGTGGCCTCCATCCAGACCGCCATCACCCTGCAGTTCCCCTATTGTGCCTCACGCACCGTGGACCACTTCTTCTGCGAGCTTCCAGCCCTGCTGAAACTCTCTTGCGCCGACATCTCTGACTACCAGTTGTCGCTGTCCATCTCCGGGGTGCTGATCTTGCTGCTGCCTATTTCTCTCATCGCCACTTCCTACGGCCTCGTGCTGAGAGCCGTTCTCCAAATGCACTCAACAGAGGCCCGACACAAGGCCTTCACCACGTGCTCCTCACACATCTCTGTGGTGGGGCTCTTTTATGGGGCAGCTGTGTTCATGTACATGGTGCCAGGTGCCTACCACACCCCGCAGCAGGACAATGTCGTCTCTCTCTTCTACAGTCTCATCACCCCCACACTCAACCCCCTCATCTACAGCTTGAGGAACAGAGAAGTACAAATGGCTTTGGTCAAAGTCCTTGGCAGGGCGGACCTCAGGTCAAAGAGGTGACCTCATGATTCCCGAGGGCCCCTCCTTATAGCTGACACCTTCCTTTCATTGTCATTCCATGCTGTACAAGACTTACCAAATCTGTCTGGCTGCCTTCCTCCTGTCTCACTGTGGGGGGGGATGTGTGTTTTCAGAAAACGAGTAAGATTTTTTCAGTCTCAGAACATGAAGATTTTTACTATATGAATGCCAATCCAAGAGCCAGCATTCAACCTAGCAGTTGGGGCATCCACATGGGGTCAAGTCCTGGTTCTTGCTCCTGAGTTCAGCCTCCCACTGACGCAGGCCCTGGGAGGCAGCAGGTGATGGTCCGAGTAGTTAAGTCCTTGTCATTCTTGTGGGAGACCTGGATTGAGTTCCAGGTTCTCAACTTTGCCTCTGGCCCAAACACTTGGAGAATGAACCAGAGGATGAGAAATTCTCTCTCTCTCTCTCTCTCTCTCTCTCTCTCTCTCTCTCGCTTTCTCTCACTCACTCGCTTGCCCTCTCTCTCTCTCTTCCCCCTCTCAGATAAAAAAGAATACCAACTCAATCACAGAGATTAATCCCAGGTTGTGGACATTTTGGCCACTGCTATGGTTTGTTTGGTTGTTTTTGTTTTGTTTTGTTTTGTTTGTTTTGTTTTGTTTTGTTTTTTTGACAGGCAGAGTGGACAGTGAGAGAGAGAGACAGAGAGAAAGGTCTTCCTTTTTGCCATTGGTTCACCTTCCAATGGCCGCCACGGCCAGCGCACCGTGTTGATCTGAAGCCAGGAGCCAGGTGCTTCCTTCTGGTCTCCCATGGGGTGCAGGGCCCATGGGAGACCAGGAGCACTTGGGCCATCCTCCACTGCACTCCCGGGCCACAGCAGAGAGCTGGCCTGGAAGAGGGGCAACCGGGACAGAATCCAGTGCCCCGACCGGGACTAGAACCCGGTGTGCCGGCGCCGCAAGGCAGAGGATTAGCCTAGTGAGCCACGGCACCAGCCCACTGCTATGGTTTGAATATAGTTTGTCCATTCTAAAATGTACATTGTTGTTTAATCCTCCATTGTGAAAAGCTAACCTGACTGTGGTGTTTAGAGGCAGGGGCTTTGACAGGTAATTAGAGTTATATAAGTGAGGGTTATCAAGATGGAGCACCTGTGATTGAATCCTTGTGGCTTTACTGAGGGGCTGGTGCTGTGGCATAGTTAGTAAAGCCACCACTGGCCACACTGGCATCCCGTATGGGTGCCAGTTTGAATCCTGGCTGCTCCACTTCCAATCCAGCCTCCTGCTAATGCACTTGAGAGAGCAGTCAAAGATGGTCCAAGTGCTTGGGCCCCTGCCATCCATGTGGGGGACCTGGAAGAAGCTCCTGGCTTCAGCATGGCCCGGCCCCAGCCATTGCAGCCATCTGGGGAGTGAACCAGCAGATGGGAGACCGCTCTTTCTCCCCTTTTATCTCTGTAACTCTGACTTTCAAAGTAAATCTTTTTTTAAAAGGAAGGAAGGAAGGAAGGGAAGGAGGGAGGGAGGGAAGGGAGGAAGGAAATGGAGACCAGAGAACTCATATACCTGTGGCCCCTGTATCTCACCGTGTGCTGCCTTGTGTTGTCTTGGAAACTTACCAAAAAGAATACCCTCACCAGTGCATCTCCTTGACCTTGGACCTCCAGAATCATAAACCAGAATAAATCTCTTTTTCTTTATAGCTTGAAAGCATTGTAGCATTGAGCTGTTAGCAACAGAAAAGAGACCAAGACAGCCACTGACCAGTGTCCTGCCTTGCATCTCATTCTTACACATTCCTGACTGCATCTGGGATCCAACTCTTGAAACACAAGCAACAAAAAGGAACCCAGGGGCTGGTGCCAACAGTGAGGCTGTGAAAGTCGCAGTCCTTGATGGTTCTGGGAAGGCTCTTTGTTTGGGTCCTATTTGTTGACAGCATTTATTTGGAAGGCAGGCAGTGAGAGAGAGACAGATATTCCATGCACTGGTTCGCTCCCCAAATGCCCCCAACAGCCAGGGCTGGGTCAGCTCAAAGCCTGGAGTCAGGAACTCAATCTAAGTCTTCAAAGTGTTGAGCCATCACCTGCTGCCATCACCTGCTGCCTCTTGGGGTCTGCATTAGCAGGATCAGGACTGAACCCTAAGCACTGCAGTATGGGGTACCGGTGTCACAAGCAGTGCTTGGCTGCTACACCCGATGCTCAAATGGCACCCCTACAGTCACCATTTGTATTTGCTATGGAAGGAGAGGGCCATCACTCAAGATGACCCAAGCTACTCAGTCCACCCGTGGATTATTTTTGTTGTCTCAGATTACAGATTTGAGATGTGAGAGAGTGGATCTCATTGTAGACCAACCCTCAGGGCCTCGGGGCCACCTAAGATGCTGCCATTATAAAGCTTTTGTTGTCGTCACCAATAGGCACAAGAGTTAACAATTACTCAGTTAAGGATTTCAGGGGGAATAATGCACCCCTGTTATTATTTATCTTTGCAGGGATATTGGTCTTAATGTATCTTTGGATTAAGACTCAGAGTTGGGGCCAGAGTTGGCCTAGCGGGTAAAGCTGCCGCCTGCAGTGCCAGCATCCCATATGGGCGCTGGTTCGGGTCCCGGCTGCTCCTCTTCCGATCCAGCTCTCTGCTATGGCCTGGGAAAGCAGTAGAAGATGACCCAAGTGCTTGGGCCCCTGCACCTATGTGGGAGACCTGGAAAAAGCTCCTGGCTCCTGGCTTTATCTTCGCCCTTCAGCCTGGGCTGTTGGCATTTGGAGAATGAAACAGTGGGAAGAAGATCTCCGCCTGTCTGTCTCTTTCTCTCTCTCCACTTTGAAATAAAGCAATAAGTTTTAAAGATATGTGTGTTTCCCAGAATATAAACTATGTCATGATTTCTGTAAATTAAAAGAGGAAAAGACAATGAGAAGGGCAGGTGCAAAGACAAGGAGACACAAAGCACAATCCTACGTCCAGCGGAGCGGGCTCGGAGTGTTTGGAGCTACACGGGGTGGGAGTGAGAGTGCAGGGCCTGAGACGAACGCCAGGGGTGGAGGGTGGGGGTCCCCGCCCTGAGAGCTGCTTCAGTGTCCCACTGTTGGCACTGCTCAGTGTCAACCTCAGCGAGAAGGATTTTCGACTCTTCTGTGGAGCACATTCAAAACCAATCACTAGGGGGCGCTAGCATTTCAAAGTCAAATGCAACGTTCCAAAAATTCTCCCAAGGCTTCAGGATCCCATTAGGCACTATCACATCAAAACCCAGGCAATGCCGCCTCCTCCCACCCACCCACCCCGAATGTCCTCGGGAGGCTGGAAATATCTGAGATCTAGGGAAAGAGTTTAAAAAAAAAGAGTTTGGGACACAAAAGAGGCTCGGCAACTAGACGGACCTGAACCTGAGCTGCATCTTGCATCAGATTAAAAAAAATCTATTCAAGGCTGGCGCTGTGGCCTGTGGGTGCTGTTTCAAGTCACTGGCTACTTCTCTTCCGATCCAGCTCCCTGCTGTGGCCTGGGAAAGCAGTGGAGGATGGCCCAAGTGCTTGGGTCCCTGCACCCACGTGGGAGACCCGGATGGAGTTCCAGGCTCCTGGCTTCAGATCGGCTCAGCTCCAGCCATTGCGGCCATCTGGGGGGTGGACCAGTGAATGGAAGACCTCTCTCTCTCTCTCTCTCTCTTTCTCTCTCTCTCTCTGCCTCTGAAATAAATAAATAAATCTTAAAAAAAAAAAAAAAGAAAGAAAGGAAATTGACTTTCTTCCCCTCCCTGAGGTGCATCTGAACCACGTTGCCTGGTGTCGGTCTGCACCAGGTTGGGAACAGCCCAGTCCTCACCTTTCTGCTCGCCCTTCGTGAGCTCTGCACTGTGGGAAGCTGGAATCAGGAGCAGGCTGCAAGACAAACCCAGGCCCATTCCCTCCACAAGCCTTCTGAGACCCCCTCCTACCAGCCCCAAGTCTGCCACCTCCCCTCAGGCAGTTCAGAAACAGAGATAGCTTAAAGATAAGAACACGGAGCAATAAACGCATGTGAAAAAAAAAATGCTTCATCAAGGGTGAAATTTGGGGACAGAAACAGAGGTATGTTTGCCATTTTCCCCTTTTTTTAGATTGATTTATTTATTTGAAATAGTTATACAGAGAAAGAAGGAGGGGGAGAGAGAGAGTGAGAGAGAGGGGTCTTCCATCCGCTGGTTCATTCCCCAAATGGCCACAACAGCCAGAACTGTGCTTATCTGAAGCCAGGAGCCAGGAAATTTTCCAGGTCTCCCACATGGGTGAAGGGGCCCAAAGGCTTGGGCCATCTTTTGCTGCTTTCCCAGGCCATAGCAGAGAGCTGGGTCGGAAGTGGAGCAGCCGGGACTTGAACCAGCACCCATATGGGATGCCGGTACTGCAGGCAGTGGCTTTACCCACTACACCACAGTGCCGGCCCCATATCTCTCTCTCTCTCCTCTCTCTCTCTCTCTCTCACTGCTTTCCCAGAAGAATAAAAAGTAAATAAATATTTTGAAAAATAAGGCTAGTTTAGAAATACACACAAAACAGAAGGGGGCAGAGGCCGAGGTGTGGGAAGGGGCGGTTGATTTGGATGAGGACACCTCCTCCTAGGCGGAGTGTGGGTTCTGCAGAGACAGGACAGAGACGGGCTGGGGCCACAGATTGGTTTTTCTCAAATTCCACTTTGGGCCTTTCCCGGCAGGGTGCGTTTCCCTATCTGGACGCTGGGGGGCGCTGGTAGCTCGCCAGCTCCGCCAGAAATTTTCCTAAAACAATTCAAAGTAAGTGCGGATAAAAGTCGGTGATCTCTAGGGCGGAGGATGAAGAGTTTCACGTTTCCAAGATGAAAAGAATTCTGGAGCTGAGGCACAGTTAGAGAGACACAGAGTCAGAGAGGTCTTCCAACAACTGGTTCACTCTCCAAATGCCCACAACAGCCAGAGTTGGGCAAGGCCAAAGCCAGGAGCCAGGAGCTCCCTCCGGGGCTCCCACGTGGGTGCAGGGGCCCAGGCACTTGGGCCATCAGCTGCTGCTTTCCCAGGCTCATTAGCGGGGAGCGGGATCGAAAGTGGAGCAGCCGGGACTCGAACCAGCACCCACATGGGATGCCGGTGTCACAGGTGGCAACTTTAGCTGCTCCGCCTCAGCACCAGGTCCAGAGTCACTCTTTAACTCCCCCAGAACTGAAAAAAAGGTTACTACGGTGAATTTTATGCTGTGTGTATTTTGCCATAATAATAAAAATTAGTGAATTATGAACAAGGGCTTTCGTTCATATTACTATGCTAATGTCAGTGTGCCAAGCTGTTTTTTAAGAATTAATTTTTTTCATTATGTTTGAAAGGCAGGGGAAAGAGAGAGACAGAGACACAGAGAGAAAGAGATCTTCCACCCACTAGATCAATTCCTCAAATGCCCACAACAGCCAGGGT